AATATAATGAAACCCTTAGTTTTCGCTCTTCACACATTATGAAAAAATGCTTGAGAATTTAACAAGAAGAAAAATTTTAACAGGAGTTACGAATATTTTTGAATGTATTTTTGTAAAATCCTAACGCCTTTAAATAAGGCAATGCCTAGCTGGGGGACTGAATGTTTTTAGGTATAGCGCTCTTTTAAAGGGCGTTATACCCATTTGAATTATTGTTATGTCAGTTAAATGTAGGAGACTTATTGGTGGGCCCAAGAAACAGGTATAGCGCTCTTTAAAAAAATGCTATACATATATAACGCTATTATTAAAGGCGTTATATATATATCGCTTTTTTAAAGAACACTATACCTTAACGTCCAAAACGTCTGTTAACGTATAGCGCTCTTTAAAAGAGTGTTATACATAGATAAGTCTCTGTTGAGATTCTTCCCATTTGTTCATTTACGTGATAACAATTTCAGAGATATAAGATATTATAAAATTATTATTTTTCAGTTATTTGGTTAATATAAAAGTACAAATAGATGTTTTCATTTACTTGCACTATTTTCTTGAGAGAATTGGGAGCGAGGAAAGGTTTCATGCGGAAAGAGGGAAGAGAGGAGATAGAACTGTTGGTAACCTAGTTAAAACCAATTGGTTAACAAAATAAATCTCGTCCGTTAGATTATTGAATAGACACGCGTAAACTATACGAACCGGCGAGATCATGTACGAGTCAAATCTTACATTTTCATAGGTTACGGAAAGACGATGGGGTCCACACGCTTTTGATTATCCTGTCATGCTGGAATCTTCTCCAAAAAGGCATATGTATATATATACACCGAGTCTTCCTCCATTAACGCTGCAGCAGCTCCACACCAGCGTTACACACCATAGTAACACCATTCTCCTTCAAACACAATTACGATATTTGACCAAGCAATGACTCTTCTTATTTCTTAATCACCAACCAATTTGTCATACCTTCATCACCATTAAAAACTCCGATAAAAAATAGAGTTTGGTCATTGTGGAGTTTAGTTGAAGCTTCTGTTGGATTTTTGAGGTCGTATTCAGGTTTGTTTTTGAGTTTCGTCATTCTTTTTTAAGGAAAAATTGCGTGTTTAAATGGTAACTTGATACACCTGAATTATATGTCAAGCGCTACTCTAAGAAAATCTCTTTTAAACAAAATCTTTGTTACATTAATGAATGAAAACATTTTTTTCTCTTAAAATTAATTATTTTGATTATTTTAATGGGTAAGGTGAAAAAAAAAGCTTTCGAGTTTATGTGAACTTGTTTCGGTCAGTTCCACAAAGAATAACGTTACGGTAAACACCAGCATCTGTGTGTTAGTGTGTGAATAGAGACATTTATTTTGTATGAGACCCAAGACAGTACTTGTATTAGGCTCCTTTAAATATTTGCCAAGTGAATTTTGGATCTCACTTTCAACAAAAATTGGCCACCTCCTGGCCCCCTAGTACTCTCTCCTCTTCCAAATTTTTGCAATTCCCTTATCTCAATATTTTCATTTACCAGAATTCAATGTTCTTAATTAATTCGTTCTCTTTTCTTCTCTCAAGCAATTGATCATTTTTCAAAGAAGCTCAAATGTCAAACCCATAAAATATTTTTAAAAATAAGAAGTCTATTTTCTACCTTTATCGTTATCTTTTTTATTCAAATTCCTCTATCCTCTTTTTTCTCTTCTCTTTCTCCATGAAAATGGTGAAAAGCCATAAAAAATACCTCTGAAAAAATTTCAAATAAGATTGGTAGAGTATCTGCAGAGCTATATTTGTTAATTTTGACTTCAGTTTTACCGAGAGCTAGAGTAAAAAATCAGATTTTTCACTCATCAAACAACCTCTTTTTCTGAAAAACATTCTGCAGCAATTTGCCTTGACAAGTTAATGGAAGGGGTTGTCTCTCTTTAGTACTATGTTTCTCACTTTTGTCAGTAATGAAGATTTTTTATCTGGGTTAAGCTTTCTAAAAAACTCAAGGCAAGCGAGAGAGCCTCCCAAGGTCCCAATTAAAATAAAGATACACAAGTAGTGTATGAAATGTGGAGCTAACAGTCACAGACGCATCACATAGATTTGTTGGGAGGAGGAAGATGAAGTGTTAAGAGAAAAACCAAAATAAGAAAGAAAAAAAAAAGTGAGATGAGCATTTGCTTTGACCTCACACAAATATTACATGGCATATTTGACTCAAAATAAAATTTCTCGTGTGAACATATTATATAAATCTGACTTTCGCCAGAAATTCATTCTCACTTATTTCTTCTAGTTACTGTAATTTCTACCTGTTCTCCTTAACGTATTCTTTCATTACATCTGTTATTTTTCCTTATATTTTGTGATGTTGTGGAGCAGCTAGGTTACATAGAATTGAAAGCTCATCAATGGAGGAACCTCAGATTCTTACAGTTTTGACAACTTTCTTGGCTCTTTTCATTGACTTACTGAATCTCAAATATCACGGTGATCAAGATACTCCGTTTCAGGAGCATCCCAGGATCGTGCATTTCGCATTAGGCGCTTTGGTAATGTGCTTGTTTCTATATGGATTTGAAAAGAAATATCCTCGGTTTTATCAAGCATATCTGCGTTATGTTCCATTGGGTGTGGAATTCTTTGGTTTTCTATCAGTGGCCAGTACTTCCTCTCTTTTGTTTCCGGACTTTGCTCGGCCAGTTGTGTATTTCTTCTGCCTTGTTTTACCAGCGGTGAGTATCTTGTATTGGATCTTTCAAAAATTGAAACATCATTTTGCTGAAACACGGTTTTGGGAAACAAGGGTTATACCCGTTTTATGCTGTCTGAGAGAAAGGATAAACTTGGTTTTTGATCAAGTCGGACCGGAAATTGTAAGAGCTGGGTTTTTTCTGGGGTTCTGGGTAGTATTTGGGTGCTTCTCTTCCTATAATAATCGATAATTTGGTGCTTTTGGGTAAATAATGATCACTAGTTTTTTGCTGGGGTTTTGGGTGAATAATGTTTACCGAGGTTACAGGTTTAACCTTTATTATTATAATATTAAATTTATTATATTTTTAAAATTATAAATTAATGACATATAGTTTTATTGTTGCGTTATTACAAAGTTATTAATTGGAGCCATTAATGAATTGGAATCCTATTAATGAAACATGAAAAGACAGAATTAATTAATTAATCATCTTCACGTGTTTGAAAGAATTTTATTAATATCAATTATCAATCATTTTGACATGTGATTTTTCATTTTTTAATTATCTTTTTCACGTGCGCTGAAATAGAAAAATTAAAAGAAAGTACGATGTAAGAATAATAATGATTAGTATAATATCAGTCTATAAAAAGAGCAACCAGTTGGGACTTGGGACGGAGGGAGTAGAATATATGGTTGAAATCTATATAAAGTGGTCCAAACTTCAACGTCAACGTTTGGTTTGACCCTTGTTTCAGTCACTCCCTCCGTTCAACTTTATATGTCAGCTATTTTAGTTATGCTGGCTTTTCCACTATATACGTCATTATGCTGACGTTTCATTTTAACTGACGTTTCATAAATTACATCATCTGAATATAAACAATACTAGAAAATAAAGACCAAAAAACACTAACTGTTATGAAAATAATTATTGTGGATGTTCATTTATTACCCCGCTATAGATAATAAGATTATCTATTTTAGTACTCTGTTGAAATTTATCTACAAGCAGCTCAATGAAATAATTTGCAGCAACTTCTTATTAACATAGGCAGGTTGCAAGCAGCTCATGCAGAGAGCTTACAATCTTTACTTTACCGCTAGAACCTTCCTTTCACGAGTGAACCAGGGCACGAGCCTCTCCAGGCCAAAAGAAGTGTGATCTCAATCAGGTCCTTTTATAGCCCCTTCCAGCCAAGCCAGTTGGAGTGGAAATCCAATCCAATGGGTCACTGGGACTGGGCTTGACATCAAAGACAGAGAAAAGCGTATAAGCGCAAAAAAGAAAAATTGCCTGGGAAAACAATCTCATCCCCGTCGACCACGACGACTGAAACGACGCGAAAAATCCAGACCCGTAAAGGGAACGAAAGGTGAATGGAGGGGTGCTCCAGCGAGTTATTCTAGATGTCGGAAGTTTAAAGATTGGATTGAGGAATGCAAACTCATTCGACAAGCCTCGCAGCTGCTTCCTGAAAAGCCTCGCAGTTGCTTCCTGTAAAGTCTCGCAGTTGCTTCCTTTCTTCTATAAATAGAGAAGTTTTCAGTTCATTATGTATAACAGTTTGAAGTTGAATAAAAATATCAATCTCCCTCAATACTTGTCTTCGGTTTCTTTACTTTACCGTCTTTATTTTATAACATATTATCAGCACGAGACTCTTCCATTTTGAGCACTTACTTCGAATTTAATTTCTATTTCAGTGTTCGTCTCTGATGTAAGGCGACACTCTTATGTCCGTGGTTATATCTTGTTCATAACGAGCATCATAAGGCAGATTATATCCTTGAGGTGGTGAGTTTTTCTTCTTGGCAGTAGTGATATAGATATCACTTACATCTGGAATGGCCAAATTTGCGTAATTTAATTTGAGCCTTTTGTTTATATTTTAATATCATTATCATCGCTTGCTTGGTTATATATTACGTATATAGTACCTATTTTGGTATTTGTTTTCATCCTAATTATCTTAATAAAGGATTACAAAATGGATAACATTGTTAGATCCACTTAAACTCCAGCAGAGTTTAAGAGAAATATACAGCCACCAGAAGTGGTTATATTTCGTATATCTCATTGTAACTAAATTTTGTTAACCACCAGAAGTGGTATATACCTATGAACATCAGAAGTGATAATTTAGGCTTTCTATGGTTACAATTAAAGATAAGCTAGAGAAATATTCTCTATATTACATGCACGCCTCGATTTGATCCTGAAGTAGTAAATATTTTAAAAGAGGTTAAAGCATCACAATTGATGTGATTAATACGCGTTCAGATAATTATATTCGATTTCCTAAAGAATGAGAATTTTTGATAAATATTAATCCATTCCCTGAAGTAAATGTGATAATATTAATAAAGTCGTAACTATGAACGTGCTCTTGATGTAAATATATTATAATTCACCTCCAAAAGAGGTAATATGTGTGAGAGAATATATACTCAATTTTTCGTATTTCAATTTTCTCCTGAAGAAGTAAAACAATTGAAATTTTCTCTCGAAGCAGGAAAATATTATGAAACTGTGTCTTTCTGTGCGTAAATAAAATAATAAGTTATTCAAAATTATTTTTGAAGCACATTTTCATTCCCTGTAGTGAATGAAGAAATACCACAACTCACCTCCGAAAGAGCTAGAATAACAGATGATATAAATATTATTTTTGAGGCATAAAGATCGTTGTCGCACGTACATGTTGTACGTAAAACATCTTGGATAATTTTATTAAGTATCATTTCAAGGCAAAATTATTCTTGTAGAATACTTTCTACTACAACCACATTAATATATTATGGTTATTTATTGAGTTCCCCGAAGGAAATAACAGCTCGTGTATCTTTCCTTAAAAGATGCAATAACTATGTGGTTGTCATATTGATACAAAATATTCAGATGTTAATGATATTTCTCCTTGAAGGAGATATTTGTCACAAAGTTAGTGATAGAAATATTAAAATTCTTAATTTTCGTCATTTATAAATTTAGAATTAGTTTTATATTGTTCATTTGATTATGATTTTCTCTCATGATACTTGAAGTGTCTGAGCAATATTTGATAGTACAAAATGTATCAACAACTCTTGAAGAGCTAATTGTTTATCTAGAAGACACATGACACTAGTGGTGTCTGATAAATATTAGATTGTGGATAATAAAGGAAAGTTCTCGAAGAGCTTATATACAAATATGTCATTCATATTATATGATTATGGTCAAAAACATATGTTGTAGTAAACCTGAAGTTTACTAATACAAATGGCTATCATATTGAGACTACAAATGATTAAAAGATTGAAAATCTTCCTGTTTTCACAATCATATGGGGTAAATATGTATGTGAGAAGTTACCCGCCTTATTTTTTAATTTTTTACTACATCATGTATCACAGTATACCAAAAGTTTACTAATGCAAAAGCAGCCACAGTAAATCAAAAATTTACTAATACAAAAGTAGCCACAGTAAATCAGAAGTTTATGATGCAAACGTTTATGCCATAGTAAATCAGAAGTTTACTTAGAGATAGCACATGCCATGATAAACTTGAAGTTTTTATTTGTCATTTTTAAATGAGCTATTTGAGAATTCATATAAGCATATACTGAAGAACTAGAAGATTCTTCAAGAATTCTCTTGTGTTGCTTGTTCTCATAATAACTTGATTATAAAAGGTGAATATGGGCTCATTCATCTATCATGTGAACCGCTTATAGATGCATATATAAGATGGTTACATGTATGTTTATTGTCAGCCTGCAGTTTGACATTTGAAATTGTCTTTCTCAATTAAGAGCATAATTTTCAGATTATGAAATCAAGATAGTTCATCTTGATGATGCTGGTTTATATCCAAGCTAGTTTAGCATTGAATACCTCCTATTAATTGCTAAACTATTGCTTATGAGAATAAAGTCTCATGTGTTGGTCTAAGATTTTCTAAATTGCATACAACAACACTTGTATGCATCAGACCAACAAACTATGATATGTCCTCCCCTCTCAATTGGTTTAGGATCAGAAACCAAATATTTTTATTATCTAATAACTTTTGATGTTTGGTATATGATTAATTTCTCTACCACAATGCACAAAGATATGTTTTCCAAAGAAGATTGGGGATATGAGTTAGTTTTTCTAACATTTGGGGGATGAAATAAACAGCTGGAAAATATGCTATATGAATCGAATTATCATTAATATGATCCTCGCCTAGAAGATAATTCAAGTCAAATGCCAGAAGCATTTGCTGATCCAAAATTAAATATCATATTTCAGCTGCAAATTCTCCTATTAAAATTAAAATTCCTGAAGGGTAAAATTTACTGCACGCATGAAGCGTACTAAACCGATCGGTTCCAAAGGTAACAATCCTTGAAAAAGATAAGAGCAAATGATCACAATGAGAAGGAAATGAGCTCTAGAACAGCCCACGACATAACATTTTATGAAACTCCAGAAGAAGTTCAGGTACCTGAAAATAAAGAAAGTGATGAGATCTCAACAAGTTATGTTGCTTAGGAACCGATACAAAATGATCGTCGGCGATATATTTGATACAATATAGTACACAATATTATAAATGATTATGAGGATCGGACCTGTAGTCCAGACACCTGAAGATGTCATACCATCTAAATGCAAGTCATAACCTCTATGACTCATTTGATTAAGTCAAAATGAAGATCCCTGAAGGATTTAAAATACTTGAAGCATATAATTCAAAGTCTCGAGAAATGTACTCAATCAGATTACAATATTCTTTGTATGAATTAAAACAATCAGGGCGCATATTGTATAATCACCTCACTGAATTGATGAATAAAGGTTATATAAATGATGGCATTTGTCCATGCATTTTTACAAAGAAAACAACATCAAAGTTTGTTATACGTGATGTTTATGTTAATGACATAAATCTTACAGGAACTCCAGAAGAGCTCCAAAGGGAAAAACTTTGTCTTAGTCTGCAAATTGAATATTTAGCAGATGGGATCTTTATCCATCAATCTGTCTATACAGAAAATATCTTAAAACATTTTTACATGGATAAAGCGCACCCATTAAGTACACCAAATGGGTGTTCGATCATTTCAAGTGAATAAGGATTCGTTCTGACCTCCAGAAGAGGATGGGAAACTCCTTGGTCCTGAAATACTCTATCTCAGTGCAATTGGTACACTTATGTATCTTGTTAATGCTAACAAAGGTGGCGCAAATCATATTAGTTATGGAGATGCAGGTTATTTATTCGATCCCCATAAAGTTCGATCTCAAATCGGGTATGTGTTTACATGTTGA